GGGGGGGGTAACGGCATTATAGCCGTTGGGAAGAATAAACGGCCCTCACGCCGCGTCATTCGTTTGACGCAGGCGCCCTCACGCCCTTTTCACGCCCCCGGGGCGTTAAACGCCCCGTAACGCCGGTGGGCGTGAGGAGTATTACCGGTGCTCCTAGTACATTTTATCTTTTCATTTTCTTTTCCTTCTATTTTTCCATGCTTTTCCTGTTTGATCAAACAAGAAAAAGTGATTTCCACTTCATTTTCTTTTCTTTTCCCTTTTAAATTTCTTGAACCAAACAAAGTGTTAGGACGTTTTAGAGATTTGTAATTAGGATTTCTATTTATACTCAAGCCCAATAATCCTTCACAATCTATGTTTTATGAAAATCTTTGAAAATCTACTATATTTTTAATACCATTGGATTTAAAAGGATATTTCAAAATCTGAATTGAATACACTTACACTATGTTTGGTTCAAAGAATTTGAAAGGAAAAGAAAAGAAAATGATTTTCTCTCATTTTCCTTACCAAAATGGGAGGAATTTTGGTTTTTTCCTCTTAGTACTCTTTGCCTTCTCATTTTCCGTTCCTCCTACTTTTTCTTTCTTTTCCTCTCTAACCAAACAAGAAAACTTATTTTCCACTTAATTTTTTTCTCTTTTCCCTATCAAATTCATTGAACCAAACATAGTGTTAGGGGGGTGCATTGATTACGGAGTCTATAGGATTTTTTGAGACTTTTAAAATTTGAGAGTATTCAATCCGGATATTTTAAAATCCTTAAAAATTTTGAGATATTCAATAAGGATTTTAAAAAGTCTTAAAAAACCACTTTTACATCTTTAAAAAAAATTGCGTCCCACAATCTCCTACCCATTTCTATTAAAAAACCACTTTTGCCCCTTATTTTTTCAAACCCTACCTATCACATCATACCTTTTTTCTAATAATCTACACATCACATCCTACTTTTACCCATCACATCAAGGGTATTTTTGGAAAGTCAACACAAAATTATCCCTCCCTTAATTTCAACTTTAGTCAAAACGTATAAATCTTTTTGGGACAGAGATAGTATTTAAGTAGTGAAATTTGTACTAAATAGGACTAAAACATAATGACTTTCCTAATGTAGGACTTAAACTTTTTTATTCCCTAAATAGGACTTAATAATAACCTAGTGGATGGAATAATGTCCAGTAATGATAGACATTTAGTTGAATAATGACTACTTGATAATGACCAAAGGTCCTACATTGAGAAATAAAAACATATGATCCTATATTAGAAAAGTCATTATGTTTTAGTCCTATTTAGGTAAATTTCTCTAATAACTATTCAATAGTCTATGGATTTCCATACTCCATAGATTTTGTTGGATTTTCTCCCAAAATATAAAGAGATTTGACTCTCTAAAATCTTCAATAACCACATGAGATTTCAAAGTATTCTTCGTCCCATGTTTTTGCAAGATCAATCCTTTTCTTCTTTCATATGTGGACGGTGTTGCAATCCTCCTATCCTAGCATAGTGCCTGGAAGAATATCTTTCATTGACTCCACCAAAGATGTAAATTGCATGTTCCGTTGTTCATTTGCTTCATCAATTTTGACTAGCATTTCGTGTTTTCATTTTTTTTTTGCTCAGTGCACTTGTGTTTTTCAGAATTTTGTTGGGGATTTTTAAAGACTTTCTTTTTTTATTTAATATTTCTTAGGTAATTAAAGAAATTTTATTTTTAGGTGAATAATAAAAAAAGTAAAGATTTTTTGTTTAATTAATAGTTCCATTGCCAACCGTCCAAAAAAAGTCAAATAAAATCTCAATTGAATACACCCTTCTTAAATTTTAACTAATATTTTAAAATTTCAATTGAATACATTCAGATTATAAATAATTTTTTTAAAATCATAATTAAATACACTTAGATTTTTTATTTTTAAAATCTAAATAATCCTACTAAGTTTTGATTGAATACACCCATTGGTAAATTTCTCCAATAACAATTGAAGTCCATTGTGGGAGACAGCAGAGGCACACTAGCTAAAATGTGCATGTGCATGATGGAGAATTAATAAATTGTGGCGTCATTATGAGATAATAAGTGACCATCTTTTTTTTGTCATTTAACGCGCTTCTAATTTCATCCTTCTCTTTCCCGTCCCTATAAATACCCATTAATCCCAAACATTAATTCGTCGAACAAATAATTAAAACCACTAATATTCATTACCATTGCAATGCCGCCGCCGCATACAGCTATTAATATACTCTTCCTTGTGTTGGTGGCCGTCGCAATATGCTCGGCGGCAAGAACGCTCGTCAATCTTGACGTGGGAGTTGGGGGCGTCTCTGATCTCAGCTTCGGGGGCTACGGGGGAGGAGGTGGTGGTGGAAAAGGAGGTGGTGGTGGGTATGGTGGAGGAGGGGGAGAACATGGTGGTGGCGGCGGCGGCGGTGGTGGTGGTGGCGGCGGTGGCGG